AAAAATACATTCTTCAAATTGTGAAAAAATTGTAAAAAATGTGGATAAGGTAGGTGCACCAATTGTCGATGGTTTTAGACAACATGTGACATTGATTTGTTTTTTCCCAGAATTAAATATACTTAAAAATTTGAATTTTGTGCGCTTGGACGAAGAATTTAATAATGTTAAATATTTCATATTTATTTTCTTAAAATAAAGTATAGTGTCAGATAAAAATTGTTTTTAAATGTCAATTGAGCAAAATCAGCATTTGTCTATGGTCTTGTACCTGTTTCTCGAGGATCGGTTCCAATTCTCGATGCTATGGAATTTTTAACATATAACTGGACAATTACTGAATTAACCTTTACTTATTATTTCGATCATTAATTAGCTAATATTGATGTCGAACTCTGTACAAGGTGCTGATAATTCTGGTATTCATTTCGGCTTATCTCTAATTATTATTAATTTTGTAACATGATTACTTTTTGAGAGAATAATTGGAAATTTTTAAGACTCTAGAATTTCTGCGTATACTAATCTCCCCCCCCCTTACCTTTATTATCTTACCCTGCTAAAAATAAAATCAGAAATCAGTCTCAAAACGTCATAAATACCTCACGTTTTGAGACTATTTTGATGTTTTGTGATGCTGCTGTCTAATTATGACTTAAATGGTTTTTATGGGCCTGACGTTTTCTGAAAAGTTTTTCTCACTACATTTTATTTTTTTTGTAAAAAAAGCTCCAAGAGAGGTACCCAAAATAAAAAATTGATTAAATTTGTAATTAATAATAATAATAATATTTGTAATTTTTAGATTTTAACGATTCCAATGATATAAAACTTTATGTAAAAACTTTAAAATTACATAATGATTATACAACAATATATACTCTGTTTCAGGATAGATCGATATTTTTAAAGACGAATTTGGGCTCTTTACGCGCAGAAAACTATACAAGGAGGCGTATATTATTATTTGTTTCAGCAAATAAGCTTTCTCTTTCAATTTTTTTAAAGATTGATTTTAGTCATAGGAAAATCAACACATATTACAATCGTTTTCATATATTTGGCTATAATTTTCTGAAAAAAATCTAGGAAACGCCTTTTTCATTTAAAAGTACACCCTTTTACAACAAGATGCGCAGAAAAATATCGATTTCTCCTGGAACAGAGTATACTCCATTAATTAACATTAATTTTCAATAATTTAAAAATATTTGCAAAAAATTATATATTGTTGTAATTGTATTAACATGTAATTACAAATATAATATTTAAAAACTATTTTTTTTAAATGCAGCAATTTTTAATTTTCCATTGCAAAGCCATAAAACCATAAAAGATCCTTCTGGCCTATACATTTCTTTTTGTCCTTTTCTGACGTACGTATTATATATGGCATCACGTTTGTAAGACAAGGACATAAAAGGGAAAGCGACAATGACTACGACTATACTATTAAATACTTTTAATAGTCACGATCCTCTGACTAAACCTCACTTATTGTGGGGTTCTGTGACTGCAATCGTAACAAAAACAGTCTCAAAACGTCAGAGATCCTGATTAATTTTTTGACGTTTTGTGATTTTATTTTTAGCAGGGTATTATCTAGAAAAGGGTTGAAATTATAGACAACTTGTTTTTTGTACCGTTTTATTGTCGTCTAATTGTTTAAATTCTTGAGGAAAGCTGTTTCTTTGAATTAACTTTGTAATCCTGTTCATGGCTAAATTTATTTTATCTTGTGCAATCGGTCAATCTTCAGTAGTTTTAGAAAAAAGTTAGTTTTTGGATTTTTCTTTCCCCCTCCATATGGAGGGGGAAAGAAATCGGGAGGTATCAAAAAGCGTTGTAGATCAAATTCATTCGAAAAAGAGATCAAAATGATCTACAATTTGGATCATTTTATTACAAAACTTTGACATCAATTGTTTTTTTTAACGTTAGTTGACATCTGTTAGTATAGGTTATTGAGAGAATGTTAAATTCTCAAAACAAAAAGTTTGAAAGTAAATACGCGAGTTACTTGATTGTTGAAATCATTTTTGTGATTAATTTTTGTAAAAAAGAAATTCTTACCCAAGATTAATTTTGATTGCTTTCAATTCTACTGGTAATTTAAATACTTAACTTTTGTAACAATTTTTATTATTTTTCATTGTTGAAATTTTATTTGTTTTTTTTCATTATTCTGAAAAATCAATTGCACAAGTTTAAAAATTTCAATTTAAAAAAAATTTTATAAAATGAACAAACTGTTTTCTTAAATGTTAAGAATATATAATAATTTTAATTGCTAAATAATTCTTGAACTGAAATTGTTATCTCATAACAATATTAATTTCGATAGCATTAAATTCCACCGGTTCTTCTATTTTCCATACTAAGGAAAAATTAAAAAGATTATTCCTTGTTTATAATTACGATAAAATTATGGCGAACGCATTACTCAACGTGAACTACTTTGTAATGTGTTTTTCATCAATAAAAAAATTAAAACTTTTAGCTACTTTTAAAAAATATCGATCATTTCGTAAAATAAATCCTCCAATGAATCCATTAAGTGTGTATATCATAATATTTCATACGTTGACTATTTGCATTGTTGTTTTCATCATTGGCACTTTCATTTTCTTAGTGATAACTATTCCTAAAAAAATAAATAATTATATCAGGTTTATAAAATATATTTTCAAACTTTAAGAGTATCAGTTTCAACGGAAAAAAAGTCCAGAAGAGATTAAATTTGAGAAAAATATTTCCATGAGTTTTCGTCTTGTGGCGAGTAATATAGCCAAGTTTCGACAATATTTTCGGATAAGATGTAGAGAATAAAACGCTAATTCCGTAACTTATAATGAACAATTTATTTTTATTATGCAAAAAAATTTGTCAAACGGATAAATTTACGTGTAACCTTTTTCGGCCTAATATTACGAAATCTTAACAATATTTTCGAATGAAATGTAGAGACTTATAAATCCATTTCTAAAAACTAATTTATCCTTTAGATCGAAAGGAAGTTGTGAAAAAAATCTAATTCTAAACACATATTTACATGTGGCTTTTTTAAAATAATGTCTCATTGCGATAAATACTATAACGAATTCTCGAAAAATTTTCTGAATGAGATGTACATAATTATACGGCGATTTTTATCTTTGATGTAAACAATTGATTTTCCAACACTACTTTATCGTTTTGATGGAAAATAAGTCGAAAAAAATATTTACAAATATTTACATGTGCCCTTTTTCAATACAATATAGCGAAGTTTTAATTTTTTTTTTGATGAGATGCAGAAAAGTATGCGATGATTTCTTTTATTCAACAAATTACTGTTTAACCCTCTGCCTACGCTGGCTGATCCCCACTCTAACGCCCTAACACGTAATTTCCATAATCATTACCAGAGTTTCGAATTTTCGATTTTCGTTGATAACGGTCATTTAAGTAATCAGAGGGTTAATCATTAAACAAATTTTTTCAATACAAGTCCCCGAAGCATCTTTTTACTATGACATAGGATTTATTTTTAAACCTGTGAGAATGAAAAACTTCGTGATTTTGGAAATCACTGGGTCTAAAAATTTTATAATCGTTTTCAATGGATATTTCGTAAGCCAACAAGTTCTTATCGATCGAAATAGTTCTAACTTTTTTGCAAACGAAAATTGGCCCTTCCGAATATTTAAGGATTACTTTCAATGCAGCAAATTTAGGTTCATTTTCTTCTGAGTAACCAACAGCAAGAAGACACTTTTTAGGAACATATTTCACGCTGTTAACATTTACCCACGATGACGTACAAAATAGCTCTCCTTCCTGAAACAAGTGAGAAAATGGTAAGCGGTAATTCATAACAAATTTCTGAGGGCCAAATTCCACTTGTTTGATCATTGGCTTCATCAATTCCAAAGCCTGTCTCAGTTGGTGTCTTACAGATAAGGTGAGTGGTAAATTCTTGTAATTTACTCTTCTTGAGTGATCCGTTTGAAAAACTGATGCTTTGCTTCAAATCGCAAGGTCATATATGTAGCAAGCGGTCCAAAAAATAGAATTAACCTGGGATAATGAAGCATAAAATGTTGCTTTGGAATTAGCGCACCGTACAGTTCCGTATAGGTTTGCAAATATTCCGCAATAAGGTCAGCCAAAGCGTCAACCATTCCACGGCTTATCTCGTATCCAAAGACAATACACATTATTTGTAACAAATTTATGTAATTTGCAAAGTACGGACAGTCTGCTTCGACAATATCTTGTATAATAAATAGCAATGCATACGCAAGGGTCCACATTTCAACTGCGGATAATTTTATACTAGCGCCTGGGACCAGATGCGAAGCCTTTAGAGTAAGCGGACGTTTGTCAACTTCAGAGTAACCAAAGTCAAAAGCAGCTATTCTCTTATTTAGTTCATCAATTGTAATTTTCTTCAAAATAACACTTTGACATAAGTTTTACAAGGTTCTTATTAATGATCCCAAAATCGTATCATGAATAAGATCAGGAGGTGCTCCTTCAGTTATGTGATGTTGAAGCAATTCATTAAAGATACTTCTTCCGTTGATTCCATAGTCTGACATTAGTTTTTCTTTTTCTTGGCCAACAGCTCTTTCGATCTCTCTACTGGCTCATCATGTTGTTCTCTGTTACGCAAGAGACTCTTGTCCTCTTCGACCATTTTTTTAACCTTAGCCTATTCCGCGAGACAGAAGCGACAAGGGTGTTTTGTTTTTCCAAAAGATTCCTTTAAACCACAAGTACAATGTTGCATAAGATTGTCTCCTGAATTTGCAAGAAGCGAACCTGAAATAAGTCTCCCATCGGCGAGATTTAATCCGTTTTCGATTTTCTTAAAATTTTTAACAACAGGTTTCACCACGCTATTTAAACCGTATCGCTTCACATCTTGTGATTTCGCAATTCCGACTAGATGAATGTGTTCCAGAGATGAACGATACATCGGGTGCACTTGGAGATTTGAGGCATATATCATCAATAATTTTTTACTACCTGCTTTTTTCGATCCTAACCCATCACACATGTAAACATCGTCCATATACAAAACAATACTTTGATGGGTAGCGTCATGTCTCCAAACTTGAGTTTGAAATTTTAAACCATCTCTAAAAGATGTAATGACGTTTGGTTTTGGAGTATGTTTCTCTAGAATGTCCGAGTAGGTAGGATTGTTAAAAAAATTTGTTAAAACTTTTGACAGCGTCTTGCATCGCTTGAAGAATACTGCTAATTTTTTCTTCCGACATGTGTGTTGTCGCTCTTAGTTGTAATAAAAGTAATCCTATAGTACGTTTTCTAGGATCATCTTTCTGCTCTGCGTGTACTTCGTCGTCATCTTCGGTATCTTCTTCGATCCATTCATCTGCTTCGCTGTCGCTACTCGAAAATTCTTCACTATCACTCTCGTTGCGCGAATCATCTTCTGTCCTCATGTTTCTTGATTCCAAATTGATATTATCTCTTTGGAAGTCCTCAATGACATCATTACTATTATGTACATCTATATTGACATTTGGTTCAGCTCCATTTACGTCCACATTCTGATTTCCTTCTCTAATGTTGTAGTTTCCGTTACTCAAATCTTCTTCGTTGCCACAATCTCTTGATTCCATATCAACATTACCTCGTTGTAGGTCTTCAATATCGACATTCTGATTCTCGCCATCCATACCGACATTTGGTTCAACAAGGACATTTTGATAGGGTACTCTAACTCTGTGTTTCCTAAAGTTATGAGACCGCAAAGAAGATCTATTGTTAAATGTAGCATTACAGTTCACAAAATCACATTGAAATCTTTTATTTCTGTTTATTAGTGCGTGATTTCGTTGCAGATGGTCATTCATCTCCTCCAAAGAATGGAAATACTCTTCGCAAACATTGCATTTCACTGGGAGGCCATCCATTTCTAAAAAAAGGTACATAAATAAATATATCGGTCATTGAAGAAATTATCCAAGTCAGTTTCCCCAAAATTTGTTATATGGAAAACTTGTTCTCATAAATCCTTAATCATACTTAGAATTTTATATTATTTTCGTAATTTCCATTTGTAACCAGATATTAAAACGAAAAATACTTAACCTTCTATAAATAGCTGATTGAAATATTGAAATATTTTAAATACTTGACGACCTCTAAACAAAAATACCGCAGCAGAAAAAAATTATTTTCGGTAGGATTATATCATAGTTTTAGCTTTATCAAAATATTCTTTGTAATTAAATAATTAATTTCGCAATTTTGAAAAATTACAAATATTAAAAAAAAATCACGACTTAAACCAGTAATGGTTATGTAAGGTCGGATTGACCACAAATGCTGACAAATAACTGAATAAGTTTTAACGCTTAGCAAAGGTACGCATTGCATCAGTTAACTGGGTTGGATGAATGTACTCATACTTGAAAAATATACTTTTTTACATTCTCATCATAAATGAGAAAGTATTCGTTTTGGTTGATTTTGACCAACTTCTAATTCATGTAAATCTCCACGTTTTGAGACCTCCTGATGCCAAAAAAATAGGTTTTGAAAACCTGTCCGTCTGTCTGTCGTCTGTAGTCTGTCGTCTGTAGTCTGTCTGTAGACACTTTTTTGTCCCCACGATAACTTTAACAAATCTTAACGAATCGCTTTGAAATTTGGTATACTCTTTCAACATGTAAAAATGAAGCCTGAGTTCGTCGGACAGACTTATCCGCCCAAAAATTCAAAAATTATTCAAATTTTGAATTTTCAAAAAATTTAATTTTTCTCAAATTTAAAAAAAAAATTTTTTTCTTAATTTTCCATAAAAAAACTACCAAAAATAAACATTTTTTTCCTTCAACACTTTTCGATAGAGATTAAAACAAAAAAGTTATTCAAATTTTGAATTTTGAAAAAATTCAAATTTTTCAATTTTTCTTTTTTTAAATTTTCTACTATTTTTCCCTAAAAATACTCCTAAAAAGACACATTTTTTTTCTTTAACACATTTCAATAGAGGCTACAATAAAAAAGTTACGAATTTTTTAAGATCAAAAAATACAAAAAATTGAATTTATAGTGAATGAAGCAATGGCAAATAGAAGAAAATATTCAAAAATACAAATCGAATATATTTTTTTCTGACTTAGATACTTATTAGAATAACATCTAAATAACATAAAATAATAAAAATCAACTCAAAAATTTTTTTTTTTTTTATATAAGTCCTGACATTTCTTTCCATTTCTTGACGTAAAATGAATTTTGATTTACTTCATTAAATTTTATGATTGTAGGTAGTTTTTTATGTATCATTTGGGTTTTATAACATTGAAAGTAACAATAGTTTTAAATTATTTTCATTCTGTCAGTTCCGTAAAAAACGAGATTAAAGTGTCAAAAAATCCCTTTTTTAGCACTTTTTGAAGCACTGTAAATTGGAAACTTTATATAATAAAAATCTCTACGCGTGCTTGAATGAAAGCTTAAATCTTTATCTTTAATTTTTATTACTGAATGATAATTGCGCGGAAACTTATTTTTCATGTAATCGCTATTTCAAACAGTCAAAATAGCTAGGATAGAGAGCACTTGGTAAAAATCGATTTCTGTAACCGGATATATTTGGATTTTGTCACTTGGAAGTTCATTACGTTTTTATTGACGTATCGAAAGTTGGATTTAAAAAAAATCAAAATGGTGTTCTAAATATTCGAAATTAGATTGAATTTTTTTGCTTCTTATTGTCCTCAGGAGTTTTCGGTAACACTAGAATTTTTCAGATACGTCAATAGATACGTTATGAACTTCCAAGTGTCAAGTTACAAATAAATCCAGTTACGGAAATCGGTTTGTACCAAGTGCTCTCTATCCCAGCTATTTTGACTATTTGAGATAGCGAATACATGATAAACAAGTTTCCGCGCGATTATCATTTCGTTTTCAGTTTTGGATCTTAAAGTTAAATGTTTAAGCTTTCATTTAAGCCCTCGTGAAGATTTTTATCATGTTGCGATTCCATTTTACAGTTCTTCAAAATATGCTACAAAAGATATTTTTTGACACTTTAATCTCGTTTTTTACGGAACTGACCGAATGAAATTTTTTTTTCGTATATTCTTGTTCAGTGACACCTTAACTTTCAATTAGCACAAAAAATTTAAATAAACGCGACTTGACCATTTTTTGTAACCCAGTGTTATCCATGCAACATTTTTTCTACTATAAAGAAATCATTGCGAAGTGAAACAAAAATGGTTATAATAATAGACATGATGATGATTATAAATGTTTCAGGCAAAATTATAAACAATTATAAATTAATAAAGTATAAAATTTGATATTTTTTTGGAGAAAATTCATTTTTGAACAAACTTTTTAGCAAATGAATATTTCTACATTTTGGGTTTTTAAAATTCTTATTACTATTCTTAAGTCAGTTATTAAAAATTCAAAATGGCGGATTTAATAGGGCAGATGAGTTTTTTAAAAATTCATCGGAAACACTTGAAACTCGTTACTCGGCGGTTTTTGAGACAATATATATATTTAGACATTATATTTACATTGTTAAGTTATACCATACGAGGCCAAATTAAAAACACCTTTAAGACGTCCAAAAGACGTCTTTAAACAAAGTCTAAAAGACATCCTTAAAAAGACATCTTCAAGACGTCTTTGGAACAAGTGTGCCCACTGAGAGGTGATCCAATTTATGATAAATTGTATAAAATACAACCTTTTCTAAATCTACTAAATGAAAAATTTAAGAAATACTGGAAACAAAGCAAGTTCCAAAGCATAGACGAATCTATGATTAAATTTAAAGATCGTAGTAGCATAAAGCAATACATGCCAGCAAAACCTATAAAATGCGAGTATAAATGCTGGTATCATAGTTCCACTCTTACGCCGCCAGATGGTGATAATTTTTTTTCTCACAGTTGAGATCAGTCTTGAATACTATAAAAGCTGAGACTCTAACTCAGAAGGTGTATTGCAAAGCACATTTTTTTTCTTATTTAATGAATTGCAGTAATATTATTTGATTTTTAATTTTTATAAACTGCCGTCTGCCAACTGAAAATTCCTATATGAAATCTTATATTGTTTCCTTTATATAATGCTATGTAAAATCTTAAATATAGATATTTCGGAATCTACATGAATATGATTTCTTACGTTCAAATCAGTCATATATATGATCCCACGTGAGGATTTTTAATATGATTTCATGTCAGATTTTTTGTAATAATTATTCATTCAAGAATCAAAAAAAGGTTTGATGTATGGTTTGATATAGGAAAATTTCTGGTTAAGGATTAAGCAATAAATTTTGGTATGTTTTTCAATGAGAAAACACGAAGGAAATTGACATAAGAAATTGAAGGAAAAAATAGGACCAGAAAAAATTGTAGGATTTCACATAGGAATTTACATAATTTATTACCTAAGAATACGTTTATAAGATTTTACAATGAATCCCACTTCAAATTATGTCTCAAGTTCCTATATGATTTTTCATAATATCCTATATTGTTTCTTACATGACACATAGGATTTTATGTGGATTTTAATATATGAATTTATGTGAAATCCAATATAAGATCCTACATGAGAATTTTCAGTAGGGTAGTCCAATCATATACTTCAACCAATCGCTTGACAAAGAAGATGTGCTCATTGCAGCACAAAACAAAATAAAAAACAAAGTTCTTGGGCCTATGAGCCAAAGCAGAATATATTCTTGAACGGGAACGCAATCGTGAATGGAAACGTAAGAATGGGTGAGAGAAGAATAAATATATTTGCTATCCTTCTCTTACTAATTCTTACGTTTCCGTTTACGATTGCGTTCCCGTTCAAGAATCTATTCTGCTTAGGCCTTATACCATTTGCTCAGTACTGTTATACCTATTACCTAACCAAAATTACTTCGTCTTATATCATGCATAAAAGATATTTAAAATTCCGCAAATTGACTAATTAATTTATATAACATTATATGTATATTATAGTTACTAAAATTAATAAATTTTAAAAATTAAAAAAAAGGAAAACGAACTAGTAAACGATTTTATGATTGTTATTATGACAACGTGGTTTTGATTTTCATAATTTGAATCATAGATTTGTAATCAGTGATCTTAAAAACCCATAGATACCAAAGTTTAAAATATTCGAGCACTTTTTAAAAAATGTTCCCGCCATATTAGATCTGCCAATATGAAATTTTGAAAACTTACTGATTGTATTCTTTTACTATTTCTGAATCCGCCTTTTTTATTTTTTTAAATACAACTTTAGATTCGTCAATAGAAAAGTTTAAAAGTTAGAAGTTTGAAATAAATCCAGTTATAAAAATCGATTTTTACTAAGTGCTTTCTATCCTATTTTAAATTTTTGAAATAGCGATTACATGATACATAATATCATTCACATTTCAATTTAGAAACAAAAAGTTGAAGAACTTTATTCCAGGTAAGTTGGTTCAAATTCTTAATTTTTTAATTTTAATAACACAAAAAAAGACGAACTGAAAGTAAAAGAACCTACTTTTTAAAAAGATAATAATTATAAAGATTTTAAAATGATGTCCTTAAAACTTTATGAGAATGTTCTCATTTAATTAAATTTAAAAAAATCGGACAAGTGCGAGTTACACTCGCACTGAAATCGAGGGTTCCGTACTCGAAGCGAACTTATTTGGTATAAAAACAAATGTTTAAAAAATATGTGTTGTATGACAACTAATATAAGTGATACAAAAAGGAACAATTTTGTAAAATTCAAGAAAATTGTTCCTCTTCGTATCACTTATATTAGTTGTCATACAACACATATTTTTTAAACATTTGTTTTTATACCAAATAAGATCGCTTCGAGTACGGAACCCTCGATTTCAGTGCGAGTGTAACTCGCACTTGTCCGATTTTA